TTGAGGACGGTTTAAGAGTTTATATAGTTATCAAAATATTAGTTTCCATAAGAGTTTGAATGAAAGAAGGAAATCAGAATTTTCTTGTCGGAGGTCTTCTATGCGATCTCATAATACAAAGTCATGCGGTCGCATAGAACAAATAAATTCAGCCCAAAAGATCTTTGTAGTGGTTTATGCGGTCGTAAGGAATTAACACTATGGACCGCATAGTGTTGGCATTTTTCTCCGCCGGACAGCGTTTAATATTTTGGTCATATCTTCCACTCCGAATGTTCGATTGTAGTGATTCAAGATGCGTTGAAAAAGCTAACTCAAAGGGCTACAACTTTGTTTCAGATATCATCTTCCAATTCGATCATGTACCATGTTATAAATGGGTTTTTAATATGAGACTGAAAACAGGTGCGTAACGTTTTCGATTGAAAATTGATGTGTGATTATATTTTGATGATATTTCATCCCTTTGATATATTCTTTCATTCAATTGACTCCCAACACTCTCAAATCTTCATCATAAGGTTCGACACAACTTTTCAATATTTGTATTTGAGTCCTCAAACTTTGCTTTTGCTTCATTTAAGCCATTTTTTTGCTTGTTTTTCCTAATTTCTCCCACTTTCATCATTGATGTCCTGCAAACACATATTACATCGAATTAAGCTATATTCTGCACATTTATAAACAATTATCCATGTTTGTGAACTGAAATGAACGTGTAAAAACACCCTTATCAAATATGTCATGAATTTATAATTGAGAATATTAGTCATTAGTCCCATTTAAATGATCTATCACTTATACTAGGAGTACAATTGTAAATTTATTATGATATATTTATTAAAAATATATTTTAATTATGGTGTGATTACAATGTGATGTAGTAAATAAATTTTGTGGTGGTAATATAGTTAACATATTTAAAAAGGAAGGATGAGGACTGATTTTTAAATACCAAATTTATCCTACACATTTAGCTTTATGTCCAATATACCGTTATTTAATTTTAATTTTGTTAAT